GGAGCCATACTACTGATCATGCAACTTTTATGCATGCGTCGCATTAGGCAATTTTTATGCATGCCAAGTCGCACTATGCAATTTTTATGCAAAGCAATGTTAGAAGCAAGCTATTAAAAAGCATTCGTCACAATGATTTTTAAGGAAAAAAACATGAGTTATGGCCTATGGTTAAAAACTTTCTATCCCACATCGGATAGAAATAGAAAAGAAATGCGGTTAATATATGTGTAGTCCACTACATTTGGTCGCCAAGAAGGGAGTATCAATGGGGGAGGAAAGTCTCCAAAGTCAACAAATAGGAAACTTCACAGCCACTGTTACTCGATTTCTTGGCCTCTTATCATTTTTGAATCCTTGGCCTCATGATAAGTTGTTTGAAAAAAATATATATATATAAACAAACTTCCCTTCAGGCTCAGCGCCGGGGAGTAGTTCATTCGCCTCGGATCCTAAGTGTCCGGCTCGGCAAAACCTCCCCTCAGGCTCAGCGCCGGGGAGTAGTTCATTCGCCTCGGACCCTAAGTGTTCAGCCCGGCAAAAATCTCGCCTCGGACCCTAAGTGTCCGGCTCGGCAAAACCTCCCCTCAGGCTCCGCGCCAGGGAGTATTTAATTCGCCTCGGATCCTAAGTGTCTGAGACAGCTTCGGACCGTAAGTGTCCTATTCAGCAATATTCCTCCACGACTCAGTGCCGAGGAACAATTCGCCTCAGATCCAAAGTGTCCGCGACAGCTTCGGACCCTAAGTGTCCTATTCAGCACTATTCCTCCACGACTCAGTGCCGAGGAACAATTCGCCTAGGATCCTAAGTGTCCGAGACAGCTTCGGACCCTAAGTGTCCTATTTAGCAATATTCTTCCATGACTCAGTGCCGAGGAACAATTCGCCTCAGATCCAAAGTGTCCGCGACAGCTTCGGACCCTAAGTGTCCTATTCAGCAATATTCCTTTACATTCAGTGCCGAGGAACAATTCGCTTCAGACCTCTGGTGGACGGATCAGAACTTTTTCCTCCGGACTCCAAGTGTTTAATACCCTGTGGATGTGGATATATCATAAGTTCATCATGATCCACCCCACATCAGGAACACACGAGAAAGAAAGAGTATGTATACATCTACTGCAGGCAAGTCAAAGGCACGAAGAGTTCACTTAACAGTTAGATCATTGTCCATATGAATCACCCTGAGATATCAATTAAACTGTTAAAAGGATCTCCTTCTTCCCACCATCCTTGCTTTTTCTCGGATAGCATAAATCCGAACCATAAAGACAATGTGTTTTGTTTGTCATAAAAACATTACCAGTCAGAAAAGTATGAACAATATCAAAAGCATACAGTAAAAACAAATCAGGTATTGAAAGCCTAAAACAAAAATTATATTTATTATCCCAAATGTACTGTCAATAAAAACAAATACATGGTTCTACTTCCTCTTCGGATCGAAGGGAGTAGATTCAAAAGCATCCACTACAGTAGGACTTGGGGTAGGAGGAGTTGAAGCCGCAGGGGCAGAAGAGCTAGGAGTACCCTTCAGGTGCGCCTTCACCATCTCGGCAAAGCGGATTTCAGCTTCCAAAGCCTATGGCCCTTCATCATATGGGAAGTGCACCCCCACCTGCTTGTCAAAAGCGTCCGGATCCATTGTCCTAGGGCCTGAGCCCTGATTATAGCCAGACCGGAACGCTTTAGCACTAGCCAGGTGTGCCAGACAAGAGTAGCGCCCCTGCATTTGCTTCCCCGCCTTGAAGCAAGTAGTAAGAGCTTCGGTCAAGCGTTGAATTTTGGCCTGAAGAGAATCCACCTTAGCCTCAGAGGCAGCCAACTGCCTCTTATACACATCCTTGGCTTCAGAAGCTATCTTCAGATTGGTAGAGGCAGTGGTGGCTCTCTTCTCTGCATTATCAAGATCCTTCTCCAGCTTCTTGATGGAGAGGGATTGGGCTTCAGCAGTGGCGCAGAGGGCTATGGTGTGGTATAGACCCTGTATAACAGAGGAACAAATATAAGCATAAATGGAAACATAAGTAAGCAAGAGTAACATAATTCTGAAGGAGCAATACAAACCTCTATGGCCCGGACCGGGGCAGAGGGGAGTAGCTGTTCCAATCCCATTTGGCTGATGGCTTCCTCGTCCTTTGGGAGCCACATCCCTCGGGCCACAGCCAGTGCAGCTGAAGGGTCTGTGATCACAGAATCCTCTAAATGAAGGACTGACTTGTCAGCCCTGGTGAAGGAAGGAGTCCAAGGAGCCCCAGTTTCAGCCAGAACATATGCCCTGACTTCATCTTCAGGTTCGGCCTCTCCAGCCTTTTTCCTTCTGCTTTTAGAAGGGACCTTGCACTTGCCAGAGGATGGGGGGTTGGGGCGAGATTTCTTCATTCGTGGTTCCTCAGCCTCCACCTCACCCTCAGTAGACCTAATAACGACCAAGGGTTGGGCATCTTCGGCTTGTTTTTTTAAAGCCTCAACCCTCCGTATCTCCTCCTCAGTCATGGGGAAACTATCAAAGGATGGTAGAGACAGATCCATGAGGTTTGCAGCAACAGCACTGGAGGCAATATCCTTGAGGTTTGAAGAAGTTAGCAGGTCCTCGATAGGCGAGGGGTCACTCCAGACTCGTTCCTCAAGAAAAGAAAGTCTGTTCCTTGCTGCGGAGGATGAAAATGTAGCTGAAAAAACACCAAAAAACTCGTAAGTACGGCGAACATTAAGACTTGGCAAGGAAAACAGCCAGAACACTTGGTATGAAGGGAGGTTAAGTATTCTATACCTAATTTCCCGAACTTGCGCGGGATGGGGAGCGTAATTGATTGGGGCACGAACCATTTTCCTTTAACTATAACCATCCTTTCTTTCCACTTCTTCTCGGATGAAGGAAGGTTCGTGCATATCCTCTGATGAAGGGGAGAGGTAAAAAAGAAGCGACCAGGCTCGGTCCCATGCTTAGATATATTATAAGTAAGCAGAAGGTCGGCAAAGGTCAAATCCAGAGCTTCTAATTTCCGGCGCACCAACAGTGCCAAAAGGATGCGAAAGAAATTAGGATTTACCTGAAGGGGGGCAAGACCTAACTTGTTGAAAACTAAATGATAGAAGGGTGAAGAGGGAACCGGAGGGCGCTAAGATGCCCTACCGAAAGAAGCAACTCACTCTCTTCAATTCCCTTGCTGGAGGTAAAATCGGCACCCTCGGGATATTCTACAATTTCTACTCCCTCAGGAATATCAAATTCTTCCATTACCGAAGCAATAGAGAACTTGATGCGGCGAATAGAGATGATTGTTTTCCTCTCTTCATGAGTAAGAACATTATCAGAGCCTGAGGTAGATGTCTCGGCTGGAAGGGGGGAAGTACCTAATTGATTCAACGAAAGACGATCTGTAGAAACCCTAGGAGGGGGAGCCCTAATGCGAACGGGGGAAGATGAAGGTGTGGATTTAGAATCCCCAATGTCTATACGTTCGGGAGTAGATGAAGTACTCATAATGAAAGATTGAAGAGAAAGATGCGAAAAAAACAAACTAACTTGACAAGGCGATGGAATGAAGAACGCAGGAGTGCAGCAAGGGCGAATGTAACTCTTGCAGAATCTTGTACGACGGAGTAATAATGAAAGTCCTCGAACCGTCTCTAAAGCAAAGTAAAAAACATGTTTCAATTCCCTCGTTAATGGGAGCCGTCACTCAATTAAAAATGAAATTTGGGGCAAAGTGTGGAGGGAAAAAACTCCCTCCAATAAGAAGCGTACACGTCATCACTACACATATCTACATTCCAAGGACATGTAAGGCCCGTCATGCTCAAGCCCAAATTAAGTGTATTTTTAGCCTAAGACCATTGTTATTTGTCTTCCAACCTCTATCAAGGCCGAATCAAGAGGTCATCAGCCCAACTTGTTAATATTTAACATCCGGTCCGTTACTCAAGCCCAGCCGGATCAAAGTATGTTCAGCCCAATTATTCAAGAATGCACAAGTCCTACCAGTTGAAGGATTTACCGTAGAAGGAAAATTCTGAGATAGGAAGTTCTGTACAAAGCAAGTTCTATGTATGGAAAATTAGACAATAGAAAGAACTCTATTAGTAAAGAATGTTTATATAAAAAGAATTGGAGGACAAGCAAAGCGAGTCCTACCATAATTTTACAATCTTTTGTATATAAATAGAGGCTTAGACCTCCAATAAGAAAAAAAAAACAATTCTACGCTTCGACATATACTATTCTTGTTTATTTTTACTATTGATTGAGTGAGTTGTTTTATTTTTCTTAATCATTATTGGTTGAGCGAAATTTTGCACCTACAACGATGCTATTTAATTAATACAAGAGTCTATTAAGGTGTAATTTTAATAGAGTTTAGTGTAATTTACTTAAATTTAAAATTAAAATTTTGAAGATACAACATGAAAGTAACCTGATGAAATAAGATTTTGAAGATGCCTATACAATATGTTTTGAATTTCACATGGAACCATATATTTGATATGGCAAAGTGTAGATTCAAACACCCTCTATATATATATATATATATATATATATATATAGATATAAATAACAAAGTTAGAATTCAAATATTGATAGCACTTAAATTCAATTAAATCCGATTGTGATTTTTCGATCTAGACAGAAGCCATTATAAACTTTTTCCAAAATAATTTTCAAGGTAACGCTTTTCACTGTTAGTATTTTTCATTGCCAAAAATATCCTCGGTCCAATTCGATGTAATGACCCAAGTAAATTCCCTCTACAAATACCCTCAAATGACAAAGACATGTTATCAAAATACCCGCCATGTAAAATTAAGAAAATAATCTCATCGTCCTAAAAAAAAATTGGAAACTAAATCAAATACTCTCTTAGGTATTAGCAATAAGAACACGTACAAACCATCTCACTCCATTAATAAAACCAGATACTAACCATCTTGCAGAAGATGACTCAAATTGATATCGCACAAAAAACTTGTGCACCTTAAAATTGACAGATAGACAACTAGATCCAAACATGGAGGGCTGTGACCTGTCTCTATAACATTCCAAGGACATTAATATCATAGGGAACAATTATGAATTCACTTCTCACATTTATACATTTAACATTGTCTAAACACTATACATTATTACATACCAAGGGAAAAAAATATACATTTATACAGTTAACATTGTCTATATACAGTATTGCTTTCCACGGGTATGCATCTTCATCACACATGAATATTCTTTAAATGCCTGACTACCATGATTGATGTCAAAAATCGAACAATCTTGAGTGCATTTTCACCTTGCTTGACAGTCAGACATCATTTTCTTATGGTTTCTCAGAAGTGGAGATTGGGAAGCCAGTTCAAGTTAATGTCTTCATTAAGCACATTTATCTTCAGATTGCTGAGATAAGTCTTAAAAGGTTCCCAAAGAAATGAAGCCTCTTCGTTACATATCACATCCTTTAATTGCCAAAGATCCTTTACCGATGGCGGCAACTTTGGAAATTCACAGCCTCTCATGTCGAGCTTTTTCAAACAACACAACCCACTGATCCCCATTGGCAATTCACTCATGCTTAAACAGTCAGATATATCAAGAACTCTTAATTCATGAAGGCTTCCTATTGACTCGGGTAGCCCCAAAAGGTTTGTACAGGCATGAAGCCTCAGCAATTCCAAACTTGTTAGCCTTCCAAATCCTTCAGGAAGTGCTTCCAGATCATGACATTTAGTGATGCTAAGCTTCTTAAGGCAGGGAATGTCACAAAGCCCCTCAGGCAATTTAACTAAATCAATGCAACAGTCGATATCAATCTCCAAAAGATTTGGGAACACATGGGGCATATCGATGGTACAGTTTGTAAAGGCGTCACCAATCTCACACATAATTAAGGATAGCTTCTGCAAATTCGTGAATTGTAATGTGGATTTACTAAGGAAAGAAACTGAAATATTCTCTAGCCTGATTCTCTTTAGACTGGACAAAGAACCAAGTAAAGGAGAGTTGCTCAGTTTAGATGAGCAGACACCATAATTTGTTATTATCAGAGCCTTCAATTGGTCCATTTTCTCCACAAATTCAGGTAGGCTGTAGTTCTTTGTCCAGAAATTCAATATTAGAACTTTAACTTCGGGTAGTTGGATATTGCACCAGCTTGAGGAGAATGTTTCATCTGCAATCAAATTCCGCACATTGTGAATTGGGGAAAAAAAGAAAGAAAAGAGTACCAAATACTCTGCAGCAGGTTTCGTTTTGAAAATGTGAGATGAGCAAACCTGTAGAGATGGACAAGAGGTGGGCTTGGAAGGGTTTCTGCATTTGTTCAATCGACCACTTGGGAAGGTTATTTCCTCTTATGTCCATAATTAATCTTTTCCTCTGTTCTACAGGCTCTAGGCTACTCTGGTGAATAGCCAGCTCTCTCAGCAGATCATGCTGCATGACAAAACGCTCATGGCCATCAACCTCGATTGCATCTTTCCTGTGAACAGGAGAAAATCAGGTTTACTTGTGGCCAAATTCAATTTTTAAGATACAATAACAACAATTATCCTGATGGGGCATGCTTACTAAATCAATTGGGGAAAAAAATGAACAAACAAATTCAGGCATCGATATGACAACTAATAACAAGATATGGAAAACAGCAGTTGGAATATTCCTACAAGTCAAAGTTGCAACCCTGTTTTAACCCGAAAAATGAGCTTTGTGTGGGCCCAATTATATAAGGGCGCTTAGGGTTTGGTGTTGGAAAATGAGAGCACTGGAAATCACAAGAAAGAGAAACTAGTAATATCCTGATTTTTGCATAGTGAAATCTGTCGTCGGATCTTCATTGTGGACGTAGCCCAGATTTTACGTAAATCTTTGTGCTCTGTGTGTGGCAAGTTTACTTTTCTGCTGTAATTCTTGTTTTGTTCTTGGTTCACTGCACTTGTCGTAACGCTATTATTGTTATTTTGATAATGCTGTATGGATGTCCTTTCAGAGAGTAAATTAATATAGAGAACTGAATAAGAGCATGAAAAACAATGCATATTGAAGTCTAAAGAAATCACTTTGAGCAAAATATTTGTTATTATTATTGTTACTCAAATCACTTTGAGTAAAAAATTCAAATTTTGCATACTATATCCAGTCCACCCCTTCAGCACCAAGAATAGACTGGACCATCACTTCATTATGGCCTTTTGTGCTAACTAACACACAGAACATCATCAAAACAAACCATGATTGATCATTTTAAAGAAAAATAGGAATCTAGAATACCTTGTAAGAACAAGATTAACCAAATTTCGGGAGGATAGTTCATAGATGTTGGCAAGAGCACAGTCTTCGTCTAGGTTGTATAGTTCCACCCCAATATCGATAAGAGCGGTGGCAGGGATCCTTTGATCTTCAGGAAATGAGCCTAGGTCCAGGAAACATTCCCCGACATTATTTTTTTCACCCAAGGCATCTACGCTAGGTTGGAGAGAAATAAGCAAATCACTGTTGGAATAAAAAATGGATTGTCCTTCAGACCATTGCTTCAGTGTACGTCTCCAGAACACCTCAGGTTGTCCACACAGTGATCCACCAACCACTGTAAGGGCCAGTGGGAATCCTCTACAGCCTCTCACTATCTGCAATTTGATGTGGCAAATTAAATCAGTTTCTAGCAAAGAGAGGTAATGCAGAATTGCAGACAAGTATAAATAAACTCTACTTCTTGATCTTCAATTAAATGAAACTAATGCAGAATCGCACATAGGTAAACTGAAGCTCTACTTCTTCTTGTTCAATTACATGAATTTAATATTCATAATTCTAATTTGAAAAGTATAATTTTGGTCAAGGTTCCAGTCCGTAGTTGGCCAGAAATCAATGACTGTTTCACCAACTATTAGAATATTCAAACTATTAGGACATATTAACTGTGGTTTTTTCCTTTGAAAAAAAAAAAAGAAAAAAGAAAAAAACATGCAAACTCTGAAGTAAAAAAATCATGGTTTTGAAAGCTGCATATTTTATATTTTAGGATCATTAAAAAAAATTGGTGATACAAAGTAAAACTTTTTTTTTTTTGGCGCAAGCATAGATTTACTGTGTGTACAAAGACATAATTCTCAGACAAGTAAGAAAAAATATATTAGCTCTTATCCAAATAAGAGTTTGTATTCTACCTCATTGACAAGATCATCTGGTATGTTGGAGCTCCCACCTTGAGGAAATGCTGAATTACAAAAAAGAGTCATGGCATTCTGATCATTCAACAGCTCCAATTTATAGGTAGAATCAAATCTAGGAAATACAAATCTTGATGTAACCAAAATTTTGTATTCTGGTATTGGGAACATGAATTTCTGAATAAGGGATTCTGATCCTGACCATACATCATCCAGGACCAACAATTTGGGACTTGTTCCTATTTCATTCTGTCTCAACAAGTTTCCCAATTTGTCAATTGCATCATCATCATTTTGAAACTCAGGCACCTGGAAATTCTTATGTTGAAACATGTTGCGAACAATGGCCTTGAGGTTGGGTGTCTTTGAAACCGTCACAAAGAAAATATTGTCCCTAGATTTTCCTGTCCAAGCAAGGTATTTTCAAATAGGTTAGAAGTACATAATGGAAAACCATAAAAAAAATTAAGTCCATTGAATGGCTCAATTTGATACACAGGCACATCAATGCATTTCCCAATCTGCAAATTATTAGTTTCTAAACCATGCAACATTTACCAAAGAAAAAAAATATTAAGCATAACAACAAAGCCAAGAAGATGAGATAATCTCTATATCAATACCTTCAATTTCGGCATCATGGCAGAGCATTTTCGCCAATGTAGTCTTCCCACATCCTCCAGGAGCCGAAAGCACTACCACCTGCACACCATCCTTTAGCAACTTCATCTTCAATTCTTGAAGAGGCACATCTAGTCCAACAACAAAATTGGGAACCCCCGGAGCTCCACACGAACCTACAAACACATTTGGATCACAAACCTGTCCACCTTTCTTCATACCCGACCACATTCTACCCAATTTCGCATCTATTTGATTCACCTTCACCAGAATCTTCCTGCTCTCCCTTGTATCCAGAGCTTGCACATTGGTCTGAAAGAATTTCACAAGCAAATCTTCCATTTCGATTAGTTTCTTCGGGTAGGAAGACCTCTTGAAACAATTCAAACAGAGAGTTTTCGAGCACTTGTGGACCAGCTTCGCAGCCTCTTTCAACCGTTCGGTGAACATTTTGGCTTCTTCCCCCTGACAGTCCAGTACTCTGTCCAAGTTCGCAATTTCACGTACAATTGGGTGGAGTGAATTGAGTCTCGATTCGAGTTGGCTGAGGTTGGACTTGAAGTTGATGGTTTTGCCTTTGACATCCAACACAGCTTTCAGTAATTCACCAAATGCTGCTTCCAATGCAGCCCCACCAATAAACTCCAGCCCCATCAGATGTAGTAGAAATATAAGGAAGTGCTCAAATTTTACTAAATCACAGAAACAAAGAAGGTAAAGTTTATTAGCACGAAAAAAAAAAATTCTTTCCTCTTTCGTTTTTGAAAAGTAACAGAAAAAACCCAATTCACTGAATATCAAGAGGATATGTGTTTCTCTCAATCTTCTGTTTTTATTTTATAATGAAGGTACCGCGTGTAATTTTTTTTTTTTTTTTTTGAGTTTCTCCGATTTTTCCAGGAATTCAAGTCGTATCTGCCAAAAAAGCGTGTTTTGGGGTCGAAACTTCCGAGTAAAAGCTTGTTGGATTAGGTTTAAAAATGGCTCTGCAACTTCTGCTCTCCATCATGTGAAATGATCCTTATAGCAGAAGATCCTAATAAATTATGGTTCTTCCTTTCATTTCAAAATACATTCATTCACTGCAAATGCAATGTTTGTGAAATTCATCAAATTAAATAATTAGACATAAAACGAAGACATAATCAATCTTCACATCCATACCTTCAATTCCAGACGGAGAATTTTTGACAACGTAGTCTTCCCGCATCTAATTCATTCAATTTCACCAGAATGTTCTTCGATTGACTCCTTCAGAGCTTGTTTGTTTCTTGCAGTAATTCCACCATCGAATTTTCGAGCATTTTCAGGCATTTTTAATTGATTTAAGCTTTGGTGCACGGGACGATTCAACGATTTGTTCAGCTTTATGATCTCAGCAAAGAATCGTTCTATTGATCTTACTATTGATTGAGGCTTTTTAGTATGGAACTGAACTTGATGGCTCTGTTCGTCACGTAATTCAAAACAGCTTTCACCAATTCATTGACTGCTGCTGCTGATCCCAAAACAGTTCCTCCAAAGAGCTCATCCGACATTCTTCTTCACAGAAACCCTAGTCCCTCAAACTCTGGAGAGCCCTTTTTGCCGAAGTTAGGGGGTATATTGGAAAAAAAAAAATGAAAAATTAGTTTCATTAATATATTATTTTGTTATGTAGATGCAATAGGGTAAGATGGTAAATTTAATAAGATGGTATTTTTTAAAAGGAAAAAACTCCCAATTTTTGTTCTCATAAAACAGTGTTTTATGAAACGTATTAATTTAGCTTATTCTCCGCCCCTTCTTGCTTTCGGAAGAGCCATGGATTCAATTTTAACCAAAAAAAAAAAAAAATGTAAGATCTTCAAGGAAAAGGCCAAAAAAAAAAAAAAAAAAAAAAAGAAGCGAGCTCAAAAAGGGTTTGACACGATTAACTCATTTAATTAATCTTGTCGAGTTAGAATTAAGAGATCCGTTTAACTAAATGTGTTGTAATGTAACTCATTACATGTTTAGACCCAATTACTATGGACAATTAAGCCATTTCAATATAAACCCTAAGAAAAATTTAATTTGTATTCGTTCTTTCAATGTCATTTCTTTTCACTCTCATTCACGCTACACCTTATGATTTTAAAGTGATTAGAGTTACTTAAACATTTGTATTCTATCTACTTGTTTATTGGGGTGTGTGATGCTTTTTTCTTTCTCTGAATGTTTCGATTCCGTAATAACCATCTAAACGTGTGCAAGGATACTGAATTTAAAGTGACTGATAAGGTATGTATATATGTATAAAAAGACAAGGTAAAAATCAAAATGGGTGGGAGCCACATGCTTCTGCCTAGGCCACGATGAATGATGTCTCAATTTGGAACACCAAGTTCTTGAAGTAGGCAGGTAATATGCACCACGGCAACCACCCATGCTCTTCTTAGGGCAAGTGTCGTGCGCGGCAAAATAAGGAAAAGAGCTATGCATTTGCCCGCCTACCTACTTGCCCATTTGTATGCGCAAGTTCCATATAGTTGCTCATAAGTGTCATGCACTTGCCCACTTGTCCATACAAAATGGGTAAGTTCCACACACTTGCCTGCCTGCCCACTTGCCCATACAAATGGGCAAGTTCCATACACTTACTCACCACTTGCCTATACAAAATAATGGGCAAGTGCTATGCATATTCCCACTTATCCATACAAATAGACAAGTGCCATACACTTGCCCACCACTTGCCCATATAAAGTAATGCAAGTGCGTGGCACTTGCTTGCCTACTTGCCTATACAAAATAATGGCTAAGTGCCATGGATGACACTTACCCACTCACTTGAGGAATGATCTAGTGCAAGATGAAAAGAAGGTGAGACACTTAGTATTAAGTGCGGGTTTAGTAGGAACCTAGGGTATCAGGGGGGAACACAAGTAGATCCATGATGGGATCAGGATAGGACTATGTATTATCACATGCCAAATATTGATGACACGTGTCACAGGGGCGCATAATTAAATCATATAATCCGGGGGTTGCTAACTACCAGGAAACACAAGGAATGAGGTGATACAGGCCGATGGATGGTAATTGTAGTGGTAAGGGTACTACCAGGCAGTGTAGGCTAAACGTAATTTGTGGCACGTTACACTAAGGTATTGTTACCCAGGAGAGCACTGGCACTTGCACGCAAGTGTTAGTACTTAGGAGCTCTGGGTATGGTGAATGCCACGTCATGAGGGGAGCGGGCCGGAAAATGGGTTCTTGAGGAATAGTGGATACGCCCAGGTGGAGTGGATGAGGGTCATTGACCCGCGACTCGGGCGGATGACCCAATCTCCCCTATCCTCTCATCTTTCTTTTATTTTTTATACTTGAAGTTATGTACGAGAATACCTCACTTTCAGGACCTTTGAACTCTTACAACTTGTGCCTTTTAATTTATTATCTAGAGAACTAGAGCCTATTTAGTAATTTAGTTGGATTAAGACTTAATTTTTTCTAGTATTTATTATTTGATTAAGTGTAATGTTTCCAAATTTTACCATTTTTCAAATTCTGAAATTTTCAGATTTTTCGAGGGTATTTTCATTTTTTCTCGTTTTGCGTGCCAAACATTGTGGGGTGTGTCAGGTGTGTCCGAGAGTTGATTAGGGCATTTCATTGAGTTCAGAACTCTTTGAAATGTAATAATTGCCATTTTAGCATTTTTTAATTTTTCGGACCGGAAAGTCCCCCGTGTGGGACCCACTACCGGAATTATTGTGTACGGAAATTTTATTTTGGGTCCATTACATTCCATGCATATTTATTTTATGTATATTTTTATGATTGTGTATCATTTTGCGTGGTTGTAAAATAAATAGCCTATATATATGAATTTGTAGTAGAAATTAAAGTTAAAAGAAAAATCTTTTGGAGGGAACCCACCATCACTCATTTTAATGGTCATGAGACCATGTTTGGTCTCTTTTTTCCACATTCTCCTGTAAGCTCTCTCTTCCCTCTCATTTCTTCACTTTTTCTTTTTACTTTTTCTTCACAACTTCAATCCTTGATTTCTTCCTCATTTCTTGGAATTTTTGAGTATCGTTTACGGCAATTCGAAGAGTTCGGTGAGATCTTCAAGTTGCTGTAAGCAATTTCAGCTTTTGGCCACTCTAAGAATTCCAAAATTTTGAACCCATTTGAGGATTTTCTATAAAATTGAGGTAGGGGTTCCTAATCCACGAAATTTCTTATTCCTTTGTGAATTTCCTTTGTTAATTGTTGCCTAGCATACCTAAATTGTGTTGATATTTTTATTAGTGATCAAATTGTTATGTATGAAGTATATGATTAAGTGTATTTGTTGATTTTTATGAAAAGCATGCTCAAGTGAAGATATTCCATGTTTACCATGTTTAACTTACTAGGATTTGTAATTTGGAAGTATGTTGGTTATTATTAGAAATTTTTGTTCAATGCTTGTTACATGGTAAATACTGATTTGTATGGTGTGTGACTCCACATTCATGTATTGTTGAAAAGCATGGAACATACATGCATTTCATTGGGCATGAAATGGAAAAGAAATGTTTTGAAATGAAAAAAAAAAAAAAAAAAAAAGGTTTTTGGGGAAAAGTTTTGATGAAAGATTTGCGAAAATTCGGTCGCCTAGGAGTTGTCTATGGGTCTGTGGCGTTAATGTGACCTAGAGGAAACTAGGGAGACTGCCCAAGCGTGGTTAAGTTAATTAGACCCCAAATGACGCCCTGGAGGGAAGATAACCAATCCTTCTCTCATGTCGCCATGGAGCTGCCATGGGACATGTTGCATTAACGGTTTCGAAAAATGATGACTAAAAATGTTTTGAAAATGGGGAGCGACATTGCATGATACTGCATCCTATAGTACGGCATATTTTATTCATGACTTGGATTATTAATGTTGCTATTGTGGTTATGTTTTCTTGGAAGTGATATGATCCTAATTTCTTTATTCATATTCCTTATTTGGATTCACGGGGTAACTAGAGGTGTGTCTTAGGTACCTCCTACTGAGCTTTATGCTCACCCTATTATTTAATATTTTTCAGGATATAAGAAAGAAGTGGATGATGACGTTCCACCATAGGCTTAATATGGATTAGAAGATTATTATTATTATTTTTATTTATTTCTTGTATCTAGGACTCACTTTTTTTTGTAAAACTTAGCATATTGTATTCGGTATAGAGACTTTTTGGCTCTTGTATTGTAATTTTGCTTCATGGACTGTAAGTTGATATAATTGGAGTAAAATTCTAGTATGTGAGCATGGGTCTATGTATAAGATAGGTACTCCTTTGTTTTGAATGAATGTGATGATAATGATGGGCTATTTTGAGGAGGTTGTTGATGTTGTTGTTTTGGGAATGTTTTATATTATTTGCATTGTGTATTGGGACAGGTTAGATTAGTTTTGAAGGTTCAAGAGATGCCATTATTTTTTTTATGCATTTCAGCAGGGTGTTATAGACCCCTTTTTAGCAGAAGTCATGCAGAAAATTTTCTTTTATTATTGGTATCATTTTAGGGTTGTTATCTTGAGTATTATAAATTGATGTATGACAGAATTCTGCACAGTTCGACAAGCAGTTTGACAAGTCCGTTTTTGACAAACTAATAGCGTTTTTTTTGGTGGAAATGACGAATTGAGAAAAACCCATTAGCTTTAGCTTGTGAGCCATATAGTTTTTGGCTGAAAACTTTCGTTTAGGTCTCCGAAATCGCATTTTATTGTGTTATAGGAGGCCTGCCAATTATTTCGGGATTTTTGTTCGAGGCCTTAACGAAGTCCGAATGCTCTGATATTTTATATTTAGTAGTTTTAGTTGATTAGGTTTCTTTCTCTAATTTTTCGGACTTCTTAGAGAGAATTTATTTTTATCCTTATTTCCAGGATGAGTTTCCGTATAGGATTAGATTTTAGTTTTCTTCTACTGTTAGGTTTTCTTTATTGTAAATATTTATATATTTTAAAAGTAGAATTTAATCTTTTATCAATAATATTTCAAAATTCTTTATGAATTTATCTCTTGTTTTGTGAATTCAAAACACCCTACTTTATAGATTCAAAGTAACCCGTTTCAGGTGAACAATCTATCGCTTCCACTTACGTCAGTTGGTATCAGAGCCTTGATTTACCCTGGACTGATGACAATTGCTCGTTTTGCTAGCTCCCACTTTGTCGATGATGATGGTAGAATGAAGGCCACTTGGGCAGCCATGCATACTCAAGATCAGTTCGTAGCAACTGGTTTTGGAATTGATGATAACCAAGTTCGTGGTTCAATTCATATTCGCGCTAATGATGTGTCTTGTAGCTAAACGAGAATAGGTTACGTTCCTGTTTATCCACATAGGCCTCCAGCCTATGCAGATTATTTTGATAATTCTTCCGATGATGGGGAGTGCATATTCCGTTATCAAGGTAGACGCAACAATCTTGAATTTCAGGTAAAACTTGATCTATTTACTTTTAATGAAAGTTTTATTTTTGAAGATGTCTTGGACTGGATTGAAGAAGTTGAAGAATTTTTTGAATATTTTGATGTACCTGAAAACAAGCAAGTTTCGTTTGTTGCCTTCAGGTTTAAAGGATTGGCTTCAATTTGGTGAGAAT